AGCTGGATGACTGACTCACCTGCGTCGACAATGCCGCCCAGCTGGTGAGAGGACACGGTCGCCGCGGCCGCTCGCAGGCCTAAACGACGGAGACGCTCGCCTTCACGCGAACGCACCACACACACACATTAATCAAGTAAGTATCGAGTGTTGTTTTTTTACTGTCATCGCTACCTCGCCGGTGGTGACACATCTAGAAGTACATGAACTAGAGATGAAACAATGAGAAACAGAGGAGCGTTGGAGCACATACAGAGACGTTCGCCTTCTTTCTTTCTTTATTTTTTCACTGATTTTCGCGTACCTGCAATAGACATCCTGACTACCGGTTATTACATGGCCAACTCACGACTACATAATGAACTCACAAACAAATTGGTTGAACCAAGACCTTACTTGCAGTCATGAAATTATGTTTCACTGAAAAAACCCAGAAGTTTGCATAAGTTTTAATGGAAAAAACTAAAGTTCGCATAAGTTTTACTAAAAAAAACTGAAGTTTACATAAGTGTATTTGTTTGTCCAGCAGATACATGGCAACTGTAATTTTACATGAGCATTTTCATACCATCCTTATCTACAGTTGAGTTAACATGTTTTCCTGATAGAAAACTTGGACTACATACAAGAGAAGCAAAAACTGCATGTTGATTATGATGATGATGAATGTAGGATATTTTGTGGTCGTGGTAAATTTCATATCATTTAGTACATAAACAATATTCACAATTTTATCTTATTACCATCAATTGTGTTGAGTTTCTTTCATATATATGTATTGACCCTCTTCTTTAAATTAGATGTGACAGATGCGGAATGAACTCATACCACATGATCGCATACGAGCAATTCAAGAGGAATTGGCGGGATTCTTTCTTGACCATGTCATACATAAAGACGAAGAATGCCATGTGAAAGTTGAAATCGATTTTAGATGTTAGGGATTATAAGAGATGTTATATTGTATATATGTAATAGTGTCGGATAGATATATACAAAAACTTGTTGTTCGATCAATCTCGGAGAAAGAGAGGTCACTTCTCTCTGTATATGTTCATGACGATCTTGTGTAATTCTTGACTGAAATTTGTTGGCATTGAAACGGTTCCTTAGCTTGTCCTAAGTGACATTTTCATGTGTGACTATACTTGCATAAATGTGTGCATATAAAGAATCATGATGAATCTTCTAAATAATTTTGAATTTTATACATTGAGAAAAGTGGATGGTCTTTTAATACAGGAGACATGTTGATTAAGAAGAAACGATATTTCAAATTATTTGTATGAGTTGGAAATAAGAGATCGTGTACTTTATAGGGAAATTTTAAATTTATGAATAAATTGTCTTGTATTAAGTTTAGTATAATATGTTAATCCAAATAGATGCGTATTGCGTGTGCACACTTATTAGTTCAAATAGACATGCATTGCACGTGCACACTTACTAGTAATAATCAATCAACTTAATTTAGTTAGGTTCGGAACCAATTTTACTTTAATTTACTTACCAAACTTCTGATCAAAATATAAAGTAATTCACAGGCAGAAATTAACGAACATTTATTTACACATTCGCATTATTATAGACAGATAAATCACAAGGTACCATACTACTCCCTCTGTCCCATAATATAAAAATGTTTTTAAGTGACGTTCTTATATTATGGAACAGAGGGAATATAATATTTATATCCCGTTCCAACGCACGGGCATTGTTCTAGTCTACCCTTAATAATAAAGCAAATAGTGCTTTTGGTCGTCCGTCCAAATAATCGTCCCTGAATTAGCTATAAATTACCCGTTGTTCCACCCGCAAGTTAAGAAAATGATTTGGTTTTTATTTCAAAAGGCGCCGCCATGCTCAGTGGTTTTATAATGTAATACCCTATCTAAAACATAGACACACTACTAGTATGGTGGCTAGAGCATGTTGCTTCTACCCTGGAGACCAGAGTTTGAATCCTGGTAATACCGATTTTTTGCCTCCTTTTTTAGACACCTCCTCCACCCCCTACGGGGTATGACGCCCTTTGTTTTTATTTATTTTGTCTTTTCTTTTCTTTTCTCATTTATGTTTAAGTTTTTCTTCTTTAAATTAATTTCAGAATTCCAAATTATAAAAAATTCTAGTTATAAAATAATGTTAGAGAAATTATAAAATGTGAGTGAATTAAAAAAATCTTTGGGAAATTATAAAATTTTCGTTGTTTTAAAAAGTGTTGGTGATTTTATGAAACTATTAGAAAATTATAAAAAAACACAATCTGGAAAAACATGTCGGCAACTAAAATCATGTTCATGATTTTGAAAAAAATGATTGTGTATTCAAAACATATTCGTGAATCTGGAAAAAAGCATGGAATTTTAGAAAATATTCAAAAAATCAAATGTTTTTTGTGAAATTCAAAATTTATCCCCAATTTTTAAAAAAGTCATCAATTCAAAAAATGTTAGCTGAGTCAAAAAATATTCATGAATTCAAAAACTAATCATGCATTTCAATAAATGTTTGTCTAAACAAAACAAATGTTCGTGATTTTTTATAGATGTCCTAATTTAAAAAAGGTGTTTGTTGATTCGAAAAATTGTTCACCGATTTAGAAATATTTTATGTCTAGAATTTGATTACTTTTTGGAAAGTCTTTATATGTCTAGGCATTGGGAGTAGTTCGTGGTTGATTAGATTTGTTTTTAAAGATTTAAATAGTCCCTTGCACGAGACATTGGCAAGTGTGTCGTGCAGTGGCAAGCTCATTGCCTAGGGATTTACCATGTCCAATGCATTGCGATCATGTGGACATTGTGTTCATCATCAATGAGAGTAAAGAAGAAAGATATGTGGCAACATGGTGAGCCACCGTGTTAAAATAGAGGACACTCATATGTCTGGATATTGAGTCATACTTATTTGGCTAGCATGTATTTTTGTATGTCTCCCGTTGCAACACACGGGCATGTTTGCTTGTAAAATAATAAAAGTTGAGACCAAGAAGAACAACGATAAAATCTCTCATCCATCAATTTGAAAAGAAGAAGAAAAGAGCCTAACATGCAGTCTGGTCTTGTAACGGGCAAAACCTCGCGGAGAGCCCAATAAAGGGCATCAGCTGCTTGGAAAAGCCCAATAGATGATTGGATTCCGAGTCGTACGCGACTCTCCCACCTCCACAAATCCACAGCCTCCCCTCCCCTCCCCTCCCCCTCATCCATCTCCGGCGACCTCCAAGCTACCGACGAATCCCAACCATCTCGCCCGCCGCCGAAGCCGAAGCCGATACGAGTTCATCCTCTACCGAGCGTCGTCATCCCGTCTGCTTTGGGGTCTCCGCGAGCCGCCCGCGGTCTTGGAAGCCGAGGAGGTCCTAGGGTTGGCCATCCTGCGTGTGAGTATCTCTCTCTGTCTCTGCGTACATAGATTCATCTCGCCAGTTATTAGTTAAGTAGAGGCGATTACTAGTTTGAGACCTTTTTTTGCTATTAAAGTGCGGAATAGACGAGAATGTCCTCTGACGAAATCGTGTACGTTAACGATAGGGTTTCCGATGAATCTGTGTGATTAATGGCCATGGAAAATTCTTTGTGTAAATAGTTCTAGTCTAGTTCTACTTGGCCCCATAGAAATACAAGTGTATGGTGGGTTGCATTTATTCGCATCAGCGATTTGGAGGGATTAAGTTATTGGGGAAAGTCCTTAGGCTAGATAGTGGAAAAGGCTCACTGCAGGTTGTCTGGACATCACAGTGGGGACTCTCTTAATTGAGTTATATACATAGAGGACACTCATATGTCTGGATATTGAGTCATACTTATTTGGCTAGCATGTATTTTTGTATGTCTCCCGTTGCAACACACGGGCATGTTTGCTTGTAAAATAATAAAAGTTGAGACCAAGAAGAACAACGATAAAATCTCTCATCCATCAATTTGAAAAGAAGAGGAAAAGAGCCTAACATGCAGTCTGGTCTTGTAACGGGCAAAACCTCGCGGAGAGCCCAATAAAGGGCATCAGCTGCTTGGAAAAGCCCAATAGATGATTGGATTCCGAGTCGTACGCGACTCTCCCACCTCCACAAATCCACAGCCTCCCCTCCCCTCCCCTCCCCCTCATCCATCTCCGGCGACCTCCAAGCTACCGACGAATCCCAACCATCTCGCCCGCCGCCGAAGCTGAAGCCGATACGAGTTCATCCTCTACCGAGCGTCGTCATCCCGTCTGCTTTGGGGTCTCCGCGAGCCGCCCGCGGTCTTGGAAGCCGAGGAGGTCCTAGGGTTGGCCATCCTGCGTGTGAGTATCTCTCTCTGTCTCTGCGTACATAGATTCATCTCGCCAGTTATTAGTTAAGTAGAGGCGATTACTAGTTTGAGACCTTTTTTTGCTATTAAAGTGCGGAATAGACGAGAATGTCCTCTGACGAAATCGTGTACGTTAACGATAGGGTTTCCGATGAATCTGTGTGATTAATGGCCATGGAAAATTCTTTGTGTAAATAGTTCTAGTCTAGTTCTACTTGGCCCCATAGAAATACAAGTGTATGGTGGGTTGCATTTATTCGCATCAGCGATTTGGAGGGATTAAGTTATTGGGGAAAGTCCTTAGGCTAGATAGTGGAAAAGGCTCACTGCAGGTTGTCTGGACATCACAGTGGGGACTCTCTTAATTGAGTTATATACATGGTAAAACTATCAGCCGCTCTCGAGGTTTGCTTCCGTGCCATTACTTGTTGGACACACTTATAGTAACATGGTAGAATTTGTCGACCTTGAGAGCTTAATTGGGCATTTCATGGTTAGTAAGGGACACATGAATTTTCAGCCATTTGAGGTAAAGACTGATCTACATTTGTCTCAGGTGGCAATATATCTGCAAATATTCGCGTATTTTGGGAAAAGGTTCATTATATTATACTTTTCAACTACCTGCATGTGACATAAGCTTTGAGGCTTTAAGCTAATAAGAGGATCCCTCTGTTTTTGGTCCAGGTTTGTGTTCGCTGAAATATGGAGATACAGACTTCAGGGAAGCCCATTGATATGCTGATGGAGAAGGTTCTCTGTATGAATATTCTTTCTTCTGATTACTTCAAGGAGCTCTACAGGATGAAGACCTATCATGAGGTCATTGACGAGATCTACAACCAAGTTGATCATGTGGAGCCTTGGATGACTGGCAATTGCAGGGGTCCTTCCACTGCATTTTGTCTCCTCTACAAGTTCTTCACCATGAAGCTTACTGTGAAACAGATGCATGGTTTGTTGAAGCATCCTGACTCCCCATACATTAGAGCTGTAAGTTTCTTTGACATAAGTCACTTTTGACAAATACACGCATCATGGTTGTTGTGTCTACTCGTTATATTTGTTTGCGATTAATGCATGCACTAGGTTGTATGTCAAAGTTGTACGAAAACAAAGTGTTAGTATGTTTGCAGTGACAAACTGGTGTTATCAACTTATCCTAAGCAATCAACTCTTCCATTTTTTTTACGTTCACTTATTACATTTTGGTTATAACCACTAACAGTCATATGACTTGCTTTCTTGGATGGCCTTGTGTCTTGATTTTGGTCCTAGGACACGTGGATGAACAAAGTTTGCAAGCAGTAGTGTACCAGTCTGTGCATTGGATTTGTGAGCATTTTTTGTTTGTCTTCATTTATCGTGTTAGATAATCAGCTGGCTTCTACTAAATAACCAATTGGTGTTTGTTTTTGCAGATAGGATTTTTGTATCTTCGATATGTTGCTGATCCAAAGATCCTATGGACATGGTATGAGCCCTACTTGAAGGATGATGAGGTATTGCTGTTTTTGAGTTTTCATTTGTATATTTCTTGTACTTTTATGTTTTTTGCTGTTATATGTACTTTCATAAGTCCATAAGACCATAACCATATTGAGCTTCCATTTAATTTCCAAATAATAAGTGGATACGGTCCATTAGAGGAGCTATATGGCCTGCAACTAGCTTGTTCAAGAAAGATGTGCTAATTGCAGAAGTCATGCTATACAAACCAAGGAATACAAGTTTATAATTAATAAGGAAATATATCGAGTCCATTTGATTTCATCATTATTAACTAATTAGCTAGTTAGCCATATAATTATAATTTTTGGCTTGATGCAGGAATTCTCCCCTGGATCTAATGGTCGCATGACAACCATGGGTGTATATGTGCGTGATCTTATACTTGGACAGGTCTGCATCTCAAGTTCTTGCTTTCAGAATAAAAATAAGTGCACTTGTTTGTTTGACATTTTTTTCCTGTTTATGTCGTTATAACTGAAGAATGTTTGTTCCTTTCTCTATTGGCTCACCTTCCTGTAGCTAATTCTTTTAATTCTCATGTGAACTAGATTACTATACTACATGAGTTTATTTCTCCATGCTACTTCTCACCTTCTATTTTCTGATGCTGTTAACAGTTTTTAATCTTGTGTTTATTGTATATATGTTCAGAAACTATGCCAACTAGCTGGACAAATTTTTTAGTCAGGCAAGTCATGGTTCAACAACATAGCTTGCTCATAGTATATGCTCTTCTCTTTTCCAAGAAGCTGTGTCAAATTCATAGATAGTTGGTTAAAGGTTTATTTGTGATTCTCAATGGCCATAGCACAACATTGGATTGAATTGTGTCGCCTAATTTGACTTTATGTTTGCAAGTTTATATTGACAAGCATGTTGCTCTGTTTTCCTTGTGCAGTACTACTTTGATAGTATCCTTCCAAGAGTTCCTGTTCCAGTAGTTCGTCAAGTAACAACCAATCTTGAGAAGATGAAGCTGCCTACCAAGCTTTCTGGGGTGACTGGAGACAGTCGCCACGGATCAGAGGACACTGCCCGTCGCCCCCCATCTGTTAAAGCTTCTCTGTCGGTTTCTTTTGGACAGCGTGTGCCGCACCGTGCTTCCACACGGGATTCTTCCCCAGTGCGGCGAACAGTCACCCAAGATGATCATCGGAGATCATCTTCACCATTTCGTCGCAGTGTAAGTCGGGAGGGGCCTTACAATGACCGTTCAAGTCACGACCGAGAAGGTAACCGTTCAAGCCGTGACCGAGATACTGACCGTTCAAGCCGTGATCGAGATACTGACCATTCAAGCCGTGACCGAGATACTGGCCGTTCAAGCCGTCACCGAGAGCGTGATCGTTCAAGCCATGACAGAAAGCGTGATTATGACCGTGACAGCAGGGATTGTGACTATTACAGGTCCAGGCATTCAGAAGAAAGAAGGGATTACCGAAGCGAGCGTGACAATAGTAGACACAGACGCTCCAGCTCATGTCATAGGAGCAGAAGCCGGAGTCGTAGCAAGAGCAGGAGCCGGAGTCGGAGCAGGAATGAGCATCGATCTAGTCCATTTGGGGATATAAGCAAAGAGAAGGCTGCTGCTGCCTCGAGCAACCTAGCTAAGCTGAAAGACCTGTACGGCGACGTAACTGAGAAGAAGGATGACGGTGATGCCAGGCGGCTTCACCATGATTCATGTGCCGAGGAGGTTATTAGGCTGGGAGGCCCTAGGTGGAGATAAATTTGAACTGCCGACTCTGTCATCAAGGTCATGTTACTCCACCGTTTGATCTACCGGCTTCTGCATTGACATTAGTGAGAGCTCAGTCTTTGTAAACGCTTGTACTTTATGTTGGTTCATCAATCCATGTCTTTCGGACGTGCAGTCAGTCTACCAAATTCATCAACACAACGTTATCATGTTAGGCTGAATGTTTGACGTGTACCAACTGGGTTACATGATGTCTGGCACTAGAGCAAAAATGAAGAATGCAATGATACATCTCTTTCATTTGAAGAAAGAATGATACATCTCTAACGCGTAAGATTGAAATCCTTGTCATGTCATTTGAAAGCCATGTGCTAATGAGTTGCATTCAACTGCCTTGAAAATGTATATCAGAGTGGTTTTGCTAAATCTTTTTTTTTTTTGAATGTTGGCAAAGCTTGCCAAATTCATTGATCAGAAGAGAGAAAAAGGTACAAAAGGGGTCCAAGTGTCCCAGAAACAGGACAGTCAGCGCAAGAAGGGAAAATAAAGAGAAAGAAGAGAGAAGCTAGCGAGGGTGGGGGCTCAGCCCGGATCAAAGGGGATCCCAGCACCTGCCAAATTCCACAACCTGATCTCGTCCCTAATCTTACGCCTGAAGCTTTCCAGAGTCAAGAATTCCTTTTGGAAGATCCGTCGATTCCGCTCCTTCCAAATTTCCCAAGCAATCATGTGCACTAAGGAAAGCAGTCCCTTTTTCTTTTCCCTCGCCGTGTTGTCGTGGCATCTCTGAATCCAACGCGCAAACTTAGTGTCGCCTGTCCAATTCGCCGGGCAGAGAGCAGGCATATCTGCAAGCGTGGCGAAGGACTCCCAAATGGTTCTGGACCAGGGGCACTCGATGAGAAGATGAGATGGGGTTTCTAAACTCCGCTCACAGAGCATGCAGAAGTAATCATTTTCCCATCCGCGACGCAAAAGCGCATCAGCAGTCAAAATTCTGTCGAGCATGACAGTCCACATGAAGAACCGGCACTTGCCAGGGGCCCATCCGGACCAGATCAATTTGTAACCATCCATGGGGATCGAGCCGACGAATTGCAAGCGGTAGGCCGAGCATGCGCTGTACTCTTGGTTTTGTTCAAACCTCCAGGCAATGGTGTCAGCTTGGCCCTCAACCAGCTCTACATTATCGAGCAGTGCAGCTAGTTCAGTGAGCTCCGAGACCATATGCTTAGAGAGTCCCCTAGATAGGTCATGCAACCATGTCTCATTCTTCAGAGCATCCCAGACTGAGCGGTTATTTCGCGTCGAGATCTGGAATAGTGATGGGGCAATCGTCTTTGGGCACGATCTATGCAGCCAGCGGTCATTCCAGAAATTTGACGTTCGACCGTCTCCGATTGTTATATTTGTTGCCATTGCGAAGAGTTGTCTATCCTCATTGTAGCAGGGTAGAGGGGAGCTAACCCACGGTCGCGGCGGACGTTGCCATGCCAGCCAAAGCCAGTGTAGCCTAAGAGCCCGACCAAATTTGGCAATGTCTAGGACACCCAGGCCACCAAGATGTTTGGGGCGGCAGATCAAGCTCCATGACACCCTGCAATTCCCACCGTTGCAGGTATTGTCCCCGTTCCAGAGCCAGGCACGACAAATCTGCGACATGGGCTTTATCACCCAGGCTGGTAATTTGTGCACGGTCATCATATATATTGCCAGTGAGGTCAGCCCTGTCTTCAGTAACACCAACTTGCCGCTCTTTGCCATCAAATCACCCTTCCAGGCAGCGGCCTTGTTTCCGAATTTTATGAGGAAGGGGTCCAGGTCCACTTTGGTCAGATTCCGAAGTGAAAGGGGCATGCCAAGATAAGTCGTTGGGAAAGATTTGATTGGAATCCTTAGCGCCGACAGAATGTGCGGAAGGTCCAGGCCGCCGCAGCGAATAGGCAAGGCAGAGCTCTTGTCCATGTTGGTAACGAGGCCTGTGGCCGACGCAAAGCAGTTCAACAACAAGCGGATCATGCAAGCGTTCGCCCATGAAGGGTTCATGAAGAGCGCCACATCATCCGCGTAGAAGGAGCAACGCGGTAACCTTCGACGCCCTGGAAGCTTAGATAATAAACCATGCTCCGTGGCCATGGACATCATTCTTTGAAGTGGGTCCATTGCAAGTATGAACAGGAAGGGGGAGATGGGGTCCCCTTGCCGCAATCCACACATGTGGTGAATGACCTCTGATTGCTGTCCGTTTATCATGACCCCCGACGCGGACGTGCGTAATAGCATGGCAATCCATTCCCTCCATCTTTGGCCAAAACCCCTTGCTTCGAGCATGTCCAGGAGATAGGCCCAAGAAATCGAGTCGAAGGCTTTTGCCAAGTCAAGCTTAAGGAGAAAAGCAGGTTTCCTAGACTTATGGAAGAGTCTCGCAGTGTTCTGGACGTATAGGAAATTCTCTTGTATGCTGCGCTTTTTGATGAACACACTCTGACATTGATCCACCAGGGCGTTGAGTTTTGGGGCTAGCCGCAAAGCAAGGATCTTTGAGAAGATTTTGATTATGCTATGAAGTAAGGAGATTGGCATAAAATTCTCCAAGGCATCTGCACCTAATGCCTTAGGAATGAGCACCAGGAGTGCGTGGTTGACACGATCCAGACCTCGGCTATCCATTCGGAATAGCTGTTGGAGGGCAGCGAGCAGGTCCCACTTGATCGTGTCCCAGAAGGTTTTGAAGAAGCCCCCTGAGAAACCGTCGGGCCCTGGCGCCTTATCTGCCGGGATCGCATCCACCGCCCTCTTAATTTCTTCGAGTGATAATTCTTCCTCGAGCTCCTGAAGATCAATGTGTTCAAGGCTCAATTCATCCCAATTGAGCGCAGCCGATCTGTGCTTGTTTGTGCCGAAAATCTGTGTGAAGTGCTCGTGGGCCAGGTTTGTCATGTCTTCCGTCGATGAGACTAGGCCCTGTGGACCGTGCAACACATGGATGGTGTTTCTCTTGTGGCGCGCGTTAGCTTTCCTCTGAAAGAATTTTGTATTGGCGTCACCAACTTTTAGCCAGAGGACTCTGCTTCTCCGTCGCCGCTTGATCTTGATCAGATCAGCTAGTCCCAAAGTGCGGGATTTAAGCTTTGCACGTAGACTGCTCTCTTCCGTGGTTAGGCCCCGCAGATCTTGCGCTTTGTCTAGCTGCAGAATTAGCTCGTTTACCAACGCGAATTGCTTCTGAATGTCCCCCACAATGTTCTTACTCCACTCTTTTAGAGCTTTGCTGAGCCGCCACAACTTGTTATTCAGGCGAGACAGTGGGCAAGAAGATCCAGCGTCCAAAGCCCAAGATTGGTCCACCACCTGTAACGTCCTCGATGCGGCTATATCTCCCACGTGTCGAAGCACGACTTAGAGGCATAACCGCATTGAAAGCAATGTCGCAAGTGAGGTAATCTTCGCAAACAACCCATGTAATACAATAGGGGAAAAGATACATAGTTGGCTTACAATCTCCACTTCACACAATTACATGAATAAAGCATTACATCGTCCAAATACACTCAAGGTCCAACTACGGAACCAAAATAAAAGAAGAACCCCAAATGCGACAAAGGTCCCCGATCGACCCCAACTAGGCTCCACTACTGATCAACTAGAACGAAACAACACAAAGGACAAGATCTTCATAGAGCTCCTCCTTGAGCTTGGTTGCGTCATCTGCACGGACTCATCGGCACCTGCAAGCCGGTTTTGGAAGTATCTGTGAGCCACGGGGACTCAACAATCTCGCACCCTCGCGATCAAGACTATTTAAGCTTATAGGTAGGGTAAAAGGTATGAGGTAGAGCTGCAGCAAGCGACTAACATATATGGTGGCTAACATACGCAAATGAGAGCGAGAAGAGAAGGCAAAGCACACAATCGTGAAAAGTATGATCAAGAAGTGATCCTAAAACAACCTACGTCAAGCATAACTCCAACATCGTGTTCACTTCCCGGACTCCGCCGGAAAGAGACCATCACGGTAACACACGCGGTTGATGTATTTTAATTAAGGTCAACTTCAGGTTTTCTACAACCGGACATTAACAAATTCCCATCTGCCCATAACCGCGGGCACGACTTTCGAAAGTTCAAATCCCTGCAGGGGTGTCCCAACTTAGCCCATGACAAGCTCTCACGGTCAACGAAGGAATAGACCTCCTCCCGAGACATTCCGATCAGACTCGGTATCCCGGTACAACAAGACATCCTCGACAATGGTAAAACAAGTCCAGCAAGACCGCCCGATGCGCCGACATCCTGATAGGAGCTGCACATATCTCGTTCTCAGGGCAACACCGGATGAACACTACGTACAGCTAAAACCAGCCCTCAAGTTTCCCCGAGGTGGCACCGCAAGTGGCTCTAGTTTGGACCAACACTTAGACAAGCATTGGCCCGGGGGGGGGGGTTAAAATAAGATGACCCTCGGGATGCGCAACTCCCAAGGGAAAAAAAGGCTAGGTGGCAAATGTTAAAACCAAGGTTGGGCCTTGCTGGAGGAGTTTTATTCAAAGCGAACTGTCAAGGGGTTCCCATTATAACCCAACCGCGTAAGGAACGCAAAATCCGGGAATATAACACCGATATGACGGAAACTAGGGCGGCAAGAGTGGAACAAAACACCAGGCATAAGGCCGAGCCTTCCACCCTTTAGCAAGTATATAGATGCATTAATTAAATAAGATATATAGTGATATCCCAACAAGTAAACATGTTCCAACAAGGAACAACATCTCCATGTTCCAACAAGGGACAAACTTCAATCTCCACCTGCAACTAACAACGCTATAAGAGGGGCTGAGCAAAGCGGTAACATAGCCAAACAACGGTTTGCTAGGACAAGGTGGGTTAGAGGCTTGGTTCAACAATATGGGAGGCATGATAAGCAAGTGGTAGGCATCGCAGCATAGGCATAGCAAAAGAGCGAGCAACTAAGCAAGCAAAGATAGAAGTGATTTCGAGGGTATGATCATCTTGCCTGAGATTCCGCAAGG